AAACAACAGTGGCCCAACCCAACTCGATGCAATGGGCAGTGCGGTCCTGACTATCATGCGTAACGACCGATGCAGTATGCGATTCTTAATGGTTTGTGTGTGCATAGGAGTTTGTTGGACCGGTACAGCTAAGGTGTCCAGCTAATAAACACGCTTTTCCAATGTTATCCCGAATATTTTTGTTATTTGCAAGCAGTATTATTATGGTCCCAGAATATTCGATGGATCAGTGGGAAGTAAAGAGGAGATCAAAGCATGGATCCCATTGTACTTCCACGGGGCAACGACTATTGGGTCGGATCGTGAATCGGAAACTATAAATGACATGACATGTTATCGAAGAAACTCCGGGATAACAGCTGTACAGCTTTCTCAACCAAATTTCGAGGTTCACGAGACTAAATGCCTTGGAAAAGTTCAGGCGCGCTACATTGCTTCATCATGGTTGATTGAATTTTTCCTTAGACCGATTTCTTTCTTATAAAGATTACCGCGCCATGAACCGTCTGGCACGTAGAGTGGACACAGGCAAATGTGAAGTACGATACAATGAGGATAATTTGTCGATTGTTTCAGAGCTAGAAGCTTTCCCCGAAACCCACTTTGGGCTGGTGAGATTAAAACGACCCGGAACTGGCTGTTGAACAAGGGTTAGCCAGGCAAGCTTCGAAGGATGCGTTAGACGGATTTGACAACAATGGACTTTGGACCAAAGAGCGGAACAACAGACTGTTGATCGATTCACCTGAGAGGGGCGCGGCGCTCTCAGAGTTTATACTAGAAAATGAGCTAGAGCTCGGTCCGGATGTGTAGGAGAATGTTGAAGAAATACTAAATGGAAACAATAGGCCACAAGATCGTCTATGACCGATGCGTGGATCGCTTTACGTGATGTTTATGTGGTTGCATTCATAAGTTGTGAATACTGGTGGGTGTTGATTGCCTTCTTCAGAGAATCAACAAAACAAGCAACTTATTAGACTAAATAAAACATATTGATCTCTAAAAGATCCCACGGAGCTCATAGTGAGAACAAAAATTGGCAAACAAGCGCGTTTAAATCATGCCATAACAACATGATAAATATGACCAGTATCAAAGAAGGATTTACAAGGAAAAAAGAGAGGGGAAGTAATTGAAATATTCAAGAGCTTGTTTCATAATTGGTCCCCAATTATCACTTGCTCCGATGTTGCATGACAGATCACTTGTCGGCAACCCGGCCATGGGAGCTTGAGTACTTGAGTACAAATTGTTTCTCGAACTACAGAAGGTGTGTGTGAAGGCAGATGAAAACTGCCTCCGCTGTGACTAGAATGCAAAATCGCACGTGTCTAGACCATCCCGTCTTAACTTTATACAGGAGTCGGAACGCTTCGGTCACGTTTACAATGTGATTAGTGTCGGTAGAGTGCGACACGACCGCATTTGTGATTGACTTAATTACTCCACTTCTCAACCACTCACGGACGCGCTCGGACAGACGCCTGGTCGTGCGGTCAACATACTTTGCCCCACAGGAACAAGTGAAAGAGTAAATACAGAAAGAGGCGGCAGAATCGGGCACTCTATCCTTCAACCATAGATACACCAACGGGCTAGATGCGAATCGAGCCGCGCAGAACGTTTTGTTGATGGCATTTGATAACCTTCTATGCACAATCTCTGACAAGGTGTCACCTTTAAACGGTAAAGAAATGTATACAGACTTCTTCTCAGCAATTACCCCCTTGGGAAATGCCTCTTGCCGTTGCATCATAGATTCCACGAAACGCTCCGGATATCCATTCTGGATGAAGATATTGCGCACATTTTGGAGTTATTCAACCAACATGTCCTTCGTGCGAATTTTTCTAGCTCTATTGACCAAACAAAGTATGAGATTTTTCTTCATATTGAGTGGTACAAAGCTACGGAAATGAATGTACTGCCTTTAATTACTTCCCCTCTCTTTTTTCCTTGTAAATCCTTCTTTGATACTAGTCAAAAACATACTGAGAAAGAAATTTCGCACATGAATCGAACGGAAACGTACCGATGTTCCAATGGCCCATATAGTATATTTCAGCGGTGAGTACGACGCTCATTAGTAGGAAAAATATGGTGAACGCGATCCAAAATGTCTCGCTACCGTAGATCTGTGTTTTGAAAAGAAAGATAAAGAAGACAGGGATTCACAGATGAGTAAGACAATAAAAAGATCTGCAAGTTAGAACGGCAAATGTGTTGTTTACACAAAGATCGTACTCACTTGAAAACAAACACAGTGACAAAAATAATAGTCTATCGAGAAATTCTCTTCTAACGAAATCTTAGTCACAATGCTAACAACATGAATTGCATACAGTCTTAGATGTGATTCACATGTGAGACTACCACCTAATTGGACCCGATGGTTTGACGAGAAAAACTACGGAAAACATTCTATAAATATCTCGAAAGAGTCGAAATCAGGATGCACTGTGATATAGTAGTAGTACGGTATCCCATGTGATACAATGAACTGGTTACTGAGATAAACAAAATGCACACACGAACTCCACTGATTCAATAATTTAATCAAGAAACAGCCGTCGATTCTGGAAACATTGATAAGGAACTTTGTACTCGTAAGGTCTAGATATTGGTTTGTTGGCAGAATTCATCAAGTCTACTTAACAGAACGCAAATGTTACTTTTTATCTGCCCAGGTTTGGTGACAATCGACAGTAAAATGTCTCAGTTCGCTTAGCTGGATCTCGCTTTACAATCATGACGATGAAAGTAAGGGGTCAAGTTGAGGATACTCAGTCGTATCTCAAATGGTAACACGGCTGAAGAGTCATATAATCTGATTGGATGGACAAAAATTAGCTAGAAAAACACTATAGTTTTATAGCTGTTGCAACTCCTCACATACGCCTATTAGATAATCCTCGGGAAAAGTTTTGTCCGGTAGCTCTTATGTCTTTTATTGTACGGTATGAGGCGATAAGGATCTGAAGTGTTTTGGGATTAACAACATCCATCCGACGCAGATGAAGAAGCACAGCTTTGATTCATACACATAATGCTTTGATGAGACTAGTAGAATTAAATATTCCCGGAGGGATCAAAAACAGGAATCAAATAGGTTTCGAGACACCATTACAGAAAAAGCCTCCAAATGCAAAAAGTTATTTTTAAAGTACCAAGTTTATTCTGTTATTTAGACCGGCTCTTCGCTTGATAGTCAAACAATATGCCAACCAGGTTAGTGTGTGTATATGGCTTGGGAACAAACATGGTGCCAACGCAACAACAACAACAATGCAAACGAGAAAAAGGGCACTGAGTGCTAATGAGGAGTATGAGGAGAAACAGTTTGCCAAAAAGAAAAAGGTCATGAATACTAACGATTGTGTGCCTCTTGCACCGCACATAATTGCATGTGTTTGGTCTCCTGTATGATTTCCTTTTTACAGGGCATGGAATTTAAACAGGCAGACCGTACAACATTTGCACCATTGAGTTCTATACTGAGCCACATCTTTAACCGCCTCTAATCATCGATAGGGTTAATCTCCTAAGCATTATTCTGAAAGGAGTGCTGCAACAACCGAAGCCAATGTGGAAGCTAAGCTGAGTCATGGTCTGATCGCCGGCGTATGCAAAAAGAACACGGAGAGGCAGACGACGGAAAGGGATATACAATACTTGATCAAGCTATCGGAGGCAACGGAGAGCGATTTACTTTTTTAGACAACGACTATCAGCACCCAACACACAATGATGATCATCATTACCTGTTTTATGTTTCCACCAAAGGCAGTGCTGGTTGAATACAGAAAGTATATTATCATTTTCAGCAAGAAGGCCAGTTCTCGTAGCCTGAAAGCGAAAAACTACCAACCGTTTGTGGAATGCCCTTCCTTTGAGTAAAAGTCGGATATCATGAAGGCGGCATAGGTGTTGAAGGTCAGCGAAAGCCACTTTAACTTTCGCTATTTGTCTTTTGCTCTCTACAAAACTAACTCCGGTTGTTGTTGTTGTTGACTATTCCTAGATGATCTCCACAGAGGGTGGGTGCACACAAGCATTTGCCAGGAGTCCTTTTCATCCGGATGGTGCAATGCAGATACCATATCCGGTCACCATGATCGTCAGGCGGTTCCATGCGTGTCGGGCTTCCAGTACATTTTCACTGAGCAAGGTTTATTAAACATGGACCTTGACCAGGCACTGAAAGATGTGGCTTTCTCAAAACAAAACAGCAAAAAGTTAGCTGGATTCGTCATTCACTGTTTTCAAAAATGAATGAAATACTACTGAGTAACCTCGATAATCCATCCATCTTACGGGGAATTGTTCTGGATATCGGCGGCGGAAAATAAGGATACAAGATCTCGGGTGGGCGGACTGAACCCTTTTACGGTACTGGTATAGCATTACAGTTTGAAGTTTGCCAGCTTAATAAAGCCAAAATGGAGGAGGTCGATGGTGACCTAATTATCAAGTATACAGGGTCTTGCACGGTTCAATTTGGCGAGTTTCTTTTACTACACACTTTCGTGTGATGAACAGAAGACGGGATAAGCCCTATAATCACGAGGACATGCTGTTCAGTGATGGAAACCGGTAACCCAAGTCCCGGGACTTGGAGTGATGAACCACGTAAGGTCCAATATGTTAGGTGTGGTATTGAACCGGACGACAGCAACGCTGCCTACCACCTATTGTTGGAAACCTTATTTGTTGCTTGTTACTCATGACAATCTTGGAAGGTTGTCATGATCTTACCATTTATTTCACAGTATGAATCGCCGATTGCGATGAGGAGCACGGTACGCTTTTAGTCTCACAGATAAAATTACGAGGCACGGATACTGTCCAAACTGTGGTGTTTATTGCACTTTGAAAATAGACGAGAAAGGAAGGGAAGTGGAACGTGAACGAAAGACAGAAATGTGCATGCTTCGAGTAACGACCAATACATAAGATGAAAACAGGCTTTTCTAATGAAAAAGTTACAAAGGAGCGACAATAAATTATGAATAAAGAAGCCAAAAACACAGGTTTGCACAATGTAGACAATAGATTAACCAAATAATCTTTGTCACTTTAAGTAATACACAATCGAGACTGGAGTAGAATATTAGCATACAAATGGTTAATTCCATTTTGTTACTCAATTTCCAGCTGTGAGCAGTAACACGGCGGGAATTCGATTACGCCGAAACCGGTGCATGACACACACACGTGCAGAACTCACCACTCCTGTGACTCCAAGGAAGATGACCACAGCCATCACCATATAGGCGGAGTGAGCAGTGGCATTCACATCCGGATGACGGGTCTGGTAGATTTTCAGCATGATCAACATGGCCAGAATATACATGTACGCCGTATCTGACAAGGGACAGGATGCATGTGGTGATGAAAAGAGCTGACAACTGATAGTTCTGGTGCATTGAACTACGAAAGCGGTAGGCAAAGGATGATGATGATGTGTGGGCACATTTGTTCGAGATAAGACTAATGAGTAAATGATAGTCCTCTCATACCAGAGACTGATGTGCGTGCGTTATTCTTTCTACAACTTGTGAACATAATTAGAACACAATTTGTGTCTTATTCATGTGGTTACAACACAAGGAATATGACTAGTAACAGAGCAATTAAATATGGAGGTCGACTTTGAAAATTTTTGTGCTCAGTTAGAAGACTTGTGTCCTTCATCTCGTTCGGAAGCGGAACAGCTTCAGTCTACTCTGATGAACACATATTATCAATATCACTATGCCCAATAATCAACTAACGGATTAATAAAGGGAACAACAAATACAAAAACTGAGGGTTACAACGGAACACGGAAGTTATCATAACCAAACCGGACAAGGAATCCGATATCGTCTTAGTTAATAAATTAGATTACGTCAGGAAGGTAGCGACAGTTCTGAATGATGAACCGAAGTTCACAAAAACGTCCAAGAAAAGATACCCCAAATAAAGAAGAAACTTTCTAACACGTTACGAAAACTTAAACAAAAGTGCTCTGTAGACACTGCCACATTGTGCGGATTCGTCAAACAGAAACTAAGATTCCAGTTATATGACGTGCCCAGAGTACTTTGGAGTGGAGTTCCTCTCCGGCAAATCCTAGACATGTGCAACCTCGTTACCATGCGGTAGCCAAANCGTCTACTGGAACCGGAGAGTAACGTTAACTTAGCGTAGCCTTAGGAATACAGCTGGTCCCATTGATGCCTTGAGTGGCTTAAATATCAAAGGTCGCCACATGTTTTCGCTAGATGTCACATCTCTGTTCACAAATGTTCCGATCGGTGAAACAATTGATTATTTGTGTATCTATATCGCAAGTAACGGGATTAACGTAGATCTACCGACAGATGATCTAAAACAACTATTATTTTTCTGCACTCACAAAGTGCAATTCAAGTTCAATGAGGAAATCTATCGCCAGAAGGACGGTGTAGCAATGGGGTTCCCGTCAGGGCCCTTGTTTGCCGATATTTTTATGTCTAAAATATAAAACGGTCCGCTCAAAACACACATCGAACAATGCGTACTGTACAAACGTTATGTAGAAGATATTCTGTGCGTGGTCGATTCTACAACGGGCTGCCATCACATATAAGATCACTTCAATGCTGCGCATCGGAATTTGAAATTCATGATTGAAAATGAGGCAAACAATCGACGAGCATATTTAGATGTCTGCCAAACTCGTTGTGATGACGGATCCACCAGGCTGTCAGTGCACAGGAAGGGGACTTGGAATGTACACTACATTCATTTCCGTAGCTTTGTACCATTCAATATGAAGAAAAATCTCATACTTTGTTTGGTCAATAGAGCTAGAAAAATTCGCACGAAGGACATGTTGGTTGAATAACTCCAAAATGTGCGCAATATCTTCATCCAGAATGGGTGCCCGGAGTGCTTGGTGGAATCTATGATGCAACAATAAGATGTTTGTGTACATTTCTTTACCGTTTAAAGGTGACACCTTATCAGAGATCGTGCACGGAAGACAATCTAATGTCATCACGCGGCTAAGCTCCAAACTCGATTCGCATCTAGCCCGTTGGTGTATCTATGGTTGAAGGATAGAGTGCCCGATTCTGCCGCCTCTTTCTGTATTTACTCTTTCACTTGTTCCTGTGGGGCAAAGTATGTTGACCGCACGACCAGGCGTCTGTCCGAGCGCGTCCGTGAGTGGTTGAGAAGTGGAGTAATTAAGTCAATCACAAATGCGGTCGTGTCGCACTCTACCGACACTAATCACATTGTAAACGTGACCGAAGCGTTCCGACTCCTGTATAAAGTTAAGACGGGATGGTCTAGACACGTGCGATTTTGCATTCTAGTCACAGCGGAGGCAGTTTTCATCTGCCTTCACACACACCTTCTGTAGTTCGAGAAACAATTTGTACTCAAGTACTCAAGCTCCCATGGCCGGGTTGCCGACAAGTGATCTGTCATGCAACATCGGAGCAGATGATAATCGAGGACTAATTATTACATTAACTGTTGAATACCTTAATTGCTTTCTCTTTTTTCCTCGTAAATCCTTGTTTCTTTAGTTATTTTTTATTGTATTGTTATGGCATGATTAAGACACACTGAAAACGAGCTTGTTTGCCATTGTGCTCCGTGAGACTGTTTTAATTTGTAAGCGAAAGTTGAAAACGAAGTAAAAACGAATTTGGTCTAATGAGGGAGAATAGTAAGAGGACTGACGAGGTAGCCAAGTGGTCATTTTTTTGAATTCGAAACGGATGGGTCAGAGCTATTCCTGGTTCGGTAGATACTTAGTGTAGGCAAGATTGATAGATTGGTGCATTATTTCAAATCAGCGGTAACCAATGCGTTAGGATTGCCATAAAGTGTGCACCGATCCGTTGGGATGTATTCAAACAGCACCGCAGTTGGTCACATTCGGATGAAATCTATCACTTCTAGTCTACTAGTGCGTAGTTATTTCACCAAGCATTTATAAGAGCAACTGAATATAAGTCGGTGAAAATGTATATACAGAATGAGATATTAGTGAAAGCGTATTGATAACTGTTATAAATCCAAGAGAAAGTGGCAGGACGAGGAGAGTAATCTATTTGAAGAACAGCATTGGATAGAACGAGACATCTAATTTATTACTCTCGAAATCCGCATCTCATCGGTGATTGCCAGCTTGATAGTTTATTTGTATCTTCTGTAGTTGCAACAGCAAATCATCTAATCCAAGTAGGGATGCCGTGGGAATCTTATAGATGATTCTCGGTGCGCGCAAACGACCCACAAATATGAGTAGTACCTCACAACACTCCGACAATACTATACTTGTGTTGGAAAGTGTTGTTTGAATTGATTGTTTGTTTTACTGCATCAATTGTGTTTTTATGATTGGTCCGTATAAGACTTTAATTTTACTCGCCGACTAATCTGATTGATTCAGGGGTATATATAAACGCCTGCGATTCCCTTCCCAAGTGTGATTCGTGTCTAGTGGGCTAGAAAAAAATATATCGAGAGCATTTCCTGAAGAACCGAGTTTTGACAACACTGAGTCATTTAAGTTACCAGTCATCGCTATGGTACGCTGTACGATTGACTGCTCCGATGAAATCAGCACCTCTGCATATTTCGATTGTCTGAGGTGCGTTTGTTTTCACTCCCGAAATGAAATTATTCCTTGGTTTGTAGTACGTTCGTGCGTCGCTCGCAGCCCAGCGAATTATTACTGCGATTGGTTTGTGTTATCTAACTTGCATGATTCTATCCAACCTGCACTTTCTGACTGGAGCAACAAACGCAAGCGTTTCAGGTGACAGACTGCTCTCGCACACATTACTCCTGCGAAGATGACTGTTCCATTGGTCAGTTCCAGCATTCGCCCATTGTTCAGCAAATTGGTTGAACTGACTGACCTACTAAATTACAGCATGCACAAAAACATGTGACAGGCTTAGAGGAAATGCGGTTGAGCCGTCGCAGGCCAACCTGTACGGTTTTGCAAGCTTTCGACAAGACAAAGAAATAGGCAGGAAGATGAGCGGAGATGGGGTGAAGACCGGTATTAACTCCACTTGGTGCGGCAAGTTTGAAGCCATCTTCTCTTATGGTATTGACTGTTTCATATCGATCTAGATTTTACTCTTTTGGAGCTCAATAAGTACCGATCTCGACATTGGTCATTTCTATTCACAAATGGATATCAGCCCCCATAAGGTATTTATTACTTTCATTGCGCCCCTAGTTGATGTAACTTTATTTTGTTTGCTGGCGAATTTATTCATAGATCAATCCAACCTTTACTTTCGATCGACCTGATAGACCTCCGTCCAAAACCCGCCAGGGGGATGCTGTATTAGACAAGGACGTTAATAACCTTTTCTCTTAGAAAACGGAGGGCTGCAATCTCAGCTACCGATCACTGTCTCTTATGTCTTAGGCCAAAAGTGCACTTTCATTCAAACAAAGCAGACTGACATACAAATTTGATATCTTTCAGCCTCCTAAAGAAATCTCTTGCTATCGTCCACTCATAGTTTTCCTTTTAACAGTTTTTCTCTTTATGTTGAAAATATGAGAAGTTCCGTAGTCCCGGTGGGATTCGAACCCATGCATGGACGCCACAAACTCATTCGTAAAGCGCACGCTCTACCAGCTGAGCTATGAGGCCACAGCGGTCGAATGGGAGCATTCACCGAGGTGCTGAGGAAGGGTGACCAGCCATAAACCTAGACACCCACCCCCGACCATACCGAATCTCCCACCGAAAACTAATGGGTGACGATCAAAGCAAGACCATTATTGCGTGAGCCAAAAATGCAAATCAGAATACTATATAGACTTGCAAACACAGATATGTTCGAGAGTAACAGGAGGGGTTTTCATTAACTGAGCAAAGAGCTGGGGCTATCAGGGATTGCTGCCACTGAACAGAATACAATGTTTGGCAGGAAAATTGGCGAGGAAAAAGAATGAAGAAAAAAGATCGAGGAAACAGACAGAATCGATCTGTTGAACTCATTGGTTCAGTACCACATGACTTCGAAATAATATTCTTTTATTTCCGCGCAGCTCCTGTTATTGAGCTGGTTCGTAGTGTGAGCAAAGTAACCGACAGATGGAAACGGGTTCTGTTGGCTGTTAGGCGCCCCGAAAACTACATTACAGACAACTTGTGAATTGCGAAAATCCTTCCTGTAGTTTACTGTAATATATGAATAATATGAGGGATGATGATTGTGCACAATAATGATACATCGGTTTAAAAAGCAAAGAATAGTCAAGAATAAATTATACCAAAAGAAAGTTAAAAAACAAATATAAGGAATTTTATAAGTCAGAACATCAAGCAATGATGCGAGGCAGAGAGAGAGAGAGAGAGCAGAACTCACCGAATTGAAAGTTAGAAAAACTTGGGCACATGT